TGAGTCTTTTTTAATGATTTCTTCTTGCTTGCTTATCATGAGTTTTCCCTCTCATTTACAGAGACATCTTTATTTTGGACCTAATTCTGTACTACTAATTTAAATTAATTCCCAGCATAAATTAAATCTACTAAACCTAAGCTAAGTGAATCTGAACAGTATAATACTTCAGCAGAGAAGTGAAAATCAGTAGTGATTTTTCAATAGAGAATCAAGCTTACTAACTTTTTGTCTTTTCTTTCCTTTTTATAGTGAAAGAAACTAGGAACATTTTGCATAGTAAATTAAATGGCAGAATGACATTTTCTTTTAAACTGAGTGAGGCAGGAGTCTATTTTATTTACAGTGCAAATCTGCTTACTACTGCATGTGAAAAAGATCCTTTTCTTTTTTCAGATGAACTCTGTTGCTGCCCTGCCTAGGAATCTTTCCTTATTGGAAATGGAGGTTATTCCTATATCACAGGGCTGTCCATCTTTTAAGTGGTTGAGGGCCACACTAGTAGGGGCCATATTAATAGGGGCTATATCAGCAGGGGCCATGGCCCCAAGGACCTCATGCCCCCATCCCCAGTGTGCTTTGTACCATCTGCTGTCTCCCTCCCACTGTGCTCCCCACCACTGCTGGTTTCCGCTTCTCCTGCTACACCGCATGCCCCAACTCACCCTTTGCTCCCTGGTTGTGAGCTCCATCATTACAATATGCTGCTCAAGCATCCCAGGCTACAGGCTTCTACAGCACTACAGTCTTCACTTCAGTGCCTCACCCTGCTCCCTGGGACACAAAAGAGAAGCCTGGAGCCCCAGTCTGCTGCTGCAGCTGGTGCAATGCAGCGAGCAGCAGCCAGGTGGGACCCAGAGTGTGCAGTTTGACCCCTCATGGGTCACATGCAGCCTGCAGACCACCAGTTGGACCGCCCTGCTGTACCAAATTAAAATTCTCCCTTCTATCATAAAGGAGATTTTTTGCATAAATTTATAACTCATACCATAATTGACTCCTTTGGATATACATGTACCCAGAATTAAGGACATATTTTATTTCTGGCTCTACCTGGATAATTATTTTTTGTACTTTGTTGTCACTAATTCTGTAAGCATTTGTCTTTTGTCTGACAACATGTTCCTAGCCTTGATAAGCAGACACGCAACAAACCTTAAAATCACTTAATTCTGATTAATGTCTTGCATTTCCACCTGCTTCCTTGCCAGCATGATTTCAACCACCAGTATTTCATGAACTGCTAAACTGAAAGATCCGTGCTTTTTGCTATCTGAAAGTCAGCTTTTTAACTGCTAAATTCTTGTTGGATTTTAAGTTGGGGAAAGTAAGCAATCAGCAGTTACTTTTTTTTATTTTAAGATCCAACATACTGAAGAAAGTGGGCCTGATTCCTCAGTAGTTTACTAGCCTTCAATTAGTGTTCTTCATTGTAATCAATGGAGCTACACTGTGGTAAAATTACTGTAAAAGTGGCAAATCATGGCCAGTAAATCTACAGTAAAAATTCTGTGTGCCATTAGGAAACTTACTCACTGCTTTCCAGGGGTTTATAGATTTTCTCTATTGTCCTGATCATTGAAGAATGAGACTTTAAAATTCTCACATGTCCTTCCATCTAACCAATCTATTTTTGTCACTGCCATGACAGAATATATCAAGTACATGGCTGAGGACAAGTATAATTTTTATTTCCTGTACTGATTTGTTATCAGTGATCCTTGACAAATCAATTAAGTTATTTGATTGGCTTGAATACTCCTTATTGCTTTGTACAATGGATGAGACTGCTTTACACATGTATTAATCAGTTAGGATAGGATTTTCAAAAGTGCCTAGTGTTGGCCTAACTGCTTCTATTTAAAATAATAGTGAAACCCCTGCTGACTTTAGCAGAAGCATGTGTCAGCCAACAATGAATATTGTTGAAAATCCTGCTTTTAACATCTTTTTTTAATTTGAAATTCAGATCTGAAAAAGTGTAATGAAAATGATAATAACTAGCCCTTGTGTAATTATAGCTATGGAGACTTGCAGGCATATAGCAGATCAAGGAAGTATAAGACATACATCTGTAAGCCGGACTCTGGCTGTCAGGGGAGAGGTATCTTCATCACCAAATCTGTGAAAGACATAAAGCCTGGAGAGGATATGATCTGCCAGCTCTACATCTCAAGGGTAATCCCCACCCCCCATTCTATATACCCAGGTTATTGTTTTATCACTGAGCCACAGATTAGTATCCAACTCAGCCTTGCTTGGCTGTGCTTAGCATTTTCTGGTCACTGTCCTTCCTGTGTGACCATTAACATAGTGCCTGCTTTTTGTATCAGTGTGTCAACTATTATTCCAAAGTGTTTTAAATAAGGTGTTTTAGATAAACTCATCTGTCTTAATTGGGGTGGACAGACTGTTCATGTAAAGCTAACTGGATGAGAGAAATCCCCTCGCTGCATTAAGTACTGCATTTCAAAGATGGAAAAAAATGTCCATAGATAGCAGGAAGAGAGAATGAAGGGATTGTTTCTCAGTCTGCAACTTACTGTACATACCATTTTTGACTGTCTGTCACTGACACTCTCTCCTGATGCTCTGTTCATTTTGAATATCCATGTACAGACTAAAAGGATCTCTTGTATCTTTGAGGTGTCAGTAACTTATATAGTAGAAGCTTGGCTCAAATTAGTTTGTCCTTGCTTTTTGAATATGTTTTATTTTTATTGCCCAAGTCTGCATTGCTTTACACTCAATGTGGTGATATTGCTGTATCTGGATGTAACTCAATAACTTTTGAAAACTATCTGATCAATTACATTTCAGAAGATGCTCCAGACATCAATGGTTTTAGCAGAAATAAAAAACTGACCTGGGGCACAAGGAGCCTGCTGATTGGAGTCAAAATAAATAGGAGGTCATTGTATGGGAAGGAAGTGGATAATGAGGGGCAGGGGGACATGCAGAGACCCTTAAAGGAGGGAGGAGGTGGTATGTATTGCAGGGAGTTCCTGGAAAAGGAGAGTGGAACACTGGGAATTGTGGGAGAAAATGGAAAGATGAAAAAAACCCCTGATGTGTGTAATGAGCTTGGCCTAAAGGAGCAACAAAGTGTGCAATCCCTAGTTATTTATTACTGGTCCATTTCTAGAGACTGAGCATTATCTGAGGAACTGGTTTTCAGAACTGCTGGACTCCGTTGGCTCTGGAATTGATGCACTGTGTGACAGTGCAGATTGTTTTATATCTGTTTCCCCATTTTTTTTAAATGTGGGAAAAAGATATTTATTTCATTGGATCTTGAACAAACTCACTAATTTTAACAAAACTCAGCATATGGAAGGAATTACAAGAGTTGTTGTATTATTTTTATGGAGTTGGTGTGCTCAGTACATAAAATATATTATTGCACTTCCATAAATCTCCAATTTTTAAAGCTATCTTCCTCTTATAAACAATTCCTTAATTTATAAGGACTGGCTGTATACAGGAAACTACGATATCTATATGTTGTTTGCATTACACCAGAATTTGGAGCCCTAAACATCATTAAGGTCCATTCTGTGGGATATTTTATCACTATACCATATTAAGGAAAAATCCAGATATAATATATGTCCATGACTAGTTCTGATGATGTAATTGTTGTTAATGTAACCATGTCCAACATAATATTTGGAATTTCCCTTATTTGTATAAAAAAATCTTAACCTAGATTTTAAACTACTAAGGAAAATACTTGCTTTTCCTTGGGCTTTCTAAGGCAATTTATGTAACTTTAGTAAGGAGACAATTAATATTGAAGTACAAAGAAGGCCTAGTTGTCATTGAAATCCTGAATTCTAGGGAAGTTACATTCGTGGTCTCCAGTGTCCTAACAAACAACTAGCTCCATTTGTAAATACCGCTGAACTGATGCTCTCATGTCAGACTGGGAAACTTTTTGGGGGGATACCGACACTGAAAGTCAGACACAAGCTTGTACTCAAATGTTCATGTTCCTACCACCCAGCATCCTCACTGACTTTCTCCCATTCCCCTCTACTTCTTACCTCAGGCAAGCACAACTTGAAGCTTGCAAGCACTCAGCTTCCAGGTATGTATGCACCTTAGGCAGTACCTGTTTCTGGTTTCAGAATAGTTGAAAGACCCAGAATTTGAATATAGAAAATGATCCACTGCCAATCCCACAATTCTCTGTGTCTGTGTCTTCCAGCCCTTCTGCACACCTTCTCCTTCAACTACTGCCTGGAAGCCATGTGGCTTTTTATAGCTCCTTGTTCTGCTTTTTAAACACTCATTTTCCTTGTCAACTGCTTCAGACTTACAGCACAACCTTAACCTTTTCTGGGGATGCCTAGCCTACACTAGCAGCTAACTTCTCCTCTTCTAGTCCCAACATGTTTGTGATGTGCAGCTATCTGGGTAGAGGAACACAACTGAATTCCAGTCAATATCTGGAGAGACTATAGCAAACAGCACAATTTCAAATGAAGAAACAAGAACATCTATGGCTATACTGCAGTTTTGAGCATCTTGCTCAGTCAAGCATTAATTGCACAGGATTGCAGTGTTTTGAGTACATCAAACATGAAACAGCTCTACAGGAAGGCAACAGACAAGAACCAAGGTTTGGTACTTCTCTTCATGTCTCTTCTGCTCTTACCAGTGTTAATGGGCCAATGAGAGAAGTGCCACATTGGCTTTAGGTTTCCAAGTACACATTTGACTCCCATTTTAAAAGTGTACTTGAATGTTCTGTGTGGCCCTATGTCATCCAGTTTGGAGTAGCCAGTTTTAAGACTGGCTATGTGCTTCTGTCCTTATATGGGATCCCTCAATCATATGCTGTCATGGCAGAGAGTTAGGCAAGCTATTCACACAGGTCCATAAAGACCTGCTTTCTCAGGCAGAAGTTCTGGAGCCACTGTTTGTCCTTCCACACTTGTAAAACTACCATATATTATCCCACTGCACTGTGTTAATTCTCGTTTCAGAAACTATGGAGTACACTTGGGAGAATAGAGCATGTGTCATTGCAGCATGTATCGTATCATCCAAATCTGTCATTTCTACTCTCAGATGTCCATTTCTTGGATATCCTCTGACCTTGCACATCCTTGTAAATCCCAAAAGGCCTTCCAGCACATTTCTGCACAGCTGCTCCTCATCAGAAAGACTCGTGTCTTTGTCACCATCGGTGATTCTGTCATTGTTTCATAATAGTAGAGCTGCACAAAATCAAGCAACATGCTGGTCCAACAAAGCCATGTGCAGTGGTGAGCTGCAATAACTTCCATCCTCATGGCTGTTTTAGAAAAACTAGTTGCCTCACAATATACTACAGATTCATTCCTACAAGGGCTTCACTCTGTAATACACCCTCCTTCACAGAAAACCTAGTGCTGTACTTGCATGTATGAAATAAAGTGTGGATATGAATAAGCAAGACTTGGCACACATTAAAAGAAACAGCTTGGACAGGGAAGGGTGACTTGAACTTACCAGTTGAACCATGGAGCAGTCTGATGTGTATTGGTATAGGCGTATGTTTAGTTTTAGTTTCCTGCTTATTAAAATAGAGATAATGATCCATTCCATCTATCTACAAGGGCATATTGTAAGTATTATTTAATCAATTTCTTCATCATACTTTGAAGAAGTAAGGTGAAACATATGCACTAATAAGGTTTGGCTCTCTTTCAGCTGTAGGTGGGACTGCAACTATTTTCCTGATCTCCTCTTTATAAGTTAATGAGTTACTAACATGCTACTTGTACATCAAATAAAACTGTAAGCAACTCTGCTTTGTATTCTCTTTCCTAGCCTTTTATTATCGATAAGTTTAAGTTTGATCTTAGAATTTATGTGCTCGTGACATCATGTGATCCTCTGAAGATATTTGTCTATGATGAAGGCTTGGCACGCTTTGCTACTTCAACCTACTCTGACCCGTCACAAAACAACCTTGTGAGTAAAGAAGCCTGTTAATATAAATTAATGCTATTTATAACAACTATTTATTGAAATATAGTGGTACAGGGTGATAGTAATATTTTAGACTTCTAATACATTCTTCCTCTGAGGATCTCAGAAACACTTTATAGATGGTAATAATATGGGCTTAAAACATCAGGGGATCCTGGATAAGTTATGCATCATTTCACCTATCATTAAAATGCAGTCACTTTTGTGGTAGAATATAACTGTTGCTTAATTACACAGAGTGAAGCTACTATGTAATGTCAGGGCATGGAGGGGCTGACCCTGCAAATATTTGCATGCCTCCTTCCTTCTTTCTGTACATGACTCATGTAAATAAAACTATTTGTAAATATATTTAGTGTTAGGTATATTTAGAACATAATTTTCATTGAAGATGTTGGTTTCTTAAAAATGATAGAACTGGAACACTGGTGAATTCAGGGAGGGATAAAATTGAGAGCGTACTGAGTCTCATTTGTTTTCATGAGATTATGGCTGTTCTTACTACTGTTGACTATCTTGTGCTTTATTAAAAGACTTTCTACATTAAAGAGGAAGGAGGCAGATATCAGTCTATAATCTGTAGCCTGTTTGCTCATTTACAGGATGATGTCTGCATGCACCTGACTAATTATTCCATTAATAAACACAGTGCTAATTTTGTCCGAAATGAAGATTCTGGTAGTAAAAGGTAAGAAGAGCACATTTCCAAAATAATCCCAGTCAACATGATACAAGTCTGCTTTTGAATCTTCATATGCATTTTCAGACCTTGGAAATATTGATTTTTGTTTCTCTAATTAATGATGCATTTTGTGCCATTAGTTCAATAAAACACAACCTCAGATAAGTAATAATGAGAGGCCAAAAATGGGAGGTGAACAAGCAAACACTCATTCAATTAAACATAAAATGCATTTGTATCTGAATTGCATTACTCTTTAGTGGTTGTAATTGACTATTTTACACAACTAAATTTAAATATATTGTCAGGGGGGCAGGGGGGAGTTCTTCTCCTACTCACATTTTTCTCCTGATCCTCTTCCACTATTATTTTCTTCCATACAGTGAAGCCACATATCTAGCAGTTTCTCCTAACACCTTATCCATTGTCAGTAGCTCTTAAGCGATATCAATTTTCTTTTAGCAGTAATGTTTTTTGCCAATAGCAGCAAGGATTCCAGCAGTGTCAGCTTCTCATCTGCAGTGCTGTGTTGGTGCCAGATGCCACTCCTGTTATATGATCTTTCTCAAAACATTGACCTGGTCAGACCTACCTGGAGTCCAGCCTTAGGTGTTTTTCTGTTCAGTTTTCCCTCCTCAGGCCTTGTTTACTCTTGAAGGATGAAATGTTTTAATTCTCGTATGGCAAATGCAGTACAACCCCGCTACTATAGATACAGTTAAAGATGCTTTCTAGTGATGAAGCTATTCCCATGCAGAAAGAGGAATGATGATGTCTGTATGGTTGCATCTACATTAGGGCTCATGCTGATATAGCTATATTGGCAAAAGATCAGTCCTAACTAACATTGCTGTACTTAAAACTTTGAAGTGTAGAAACAACCTGTGAGGGAGAAGTTAACTAGAATAATGGCTCTCTTCCATTTTGGGAATCCCCTTCCCATAAGCAGTATGGGAGGATGTACATCACTGACACTAATTAGCGACATACCTGATTCGAGAATGGTATATTACCCTGTCTTTAATCCTCAGAGTAAGAAAAAACTCTCATACTAACAACTTTTTGTCTTTATTTGTTTCTGTGAATATATGAATATCCATAATCCCCAAATTTCTGTGCTAAACTTCTGTATTTTGGAATTAAGAAAATTGATTTGCCATTAAAATGGGTTACCAATTTTCGTTGTTGTTGTTGTTCCTAGGAAGCTCTCCACGTTTAATAAGTACATGCAGAAGCATGGCTATGATATCAACCAGATGTGGCTGGATATAGAAGATGTTATTATTAAAACCTTGATAGCAGCACATCCTGTTATCATACATAACTATCATACTTGCTTCCCCAACCACATTATGCCTAGTGCCTGCTTTGAAATACTGGGATTTGATATTCTGTTGGATCACAAACTCAGACCCTGGTTGCTGGAGGTAAGAACCTCAGCAAGATTCTGTTTTAGGTCCCATAACATGTCCATATCCTAAGCTGCTTTCTTCTTTCACCATTTCTTACCTGTCAGAATATACTCAGTCAAATTAGTTGCTATCATCAGCCTCTTCCTTAGCATTGACTTCCCTTTTTTCATCTCTTTGGGTCCTTCCTGTAGTATCTTCTGCACTAGTCTATTAACATGAATAGCTGATGGATGACCAGCAGAGGGGGTTAAACTACAGTGTATCTAATAATAATCATTCCCACAGACTGTCACCTTGATCTCTAGTCTTGACATTCAAATCTGTCCGTGGCTGCAGGAGTGTCAACTCATGCAGACAGTCATACTCTCCAGTTCTTTGCTATGAAGGAGTTTTCCAGGGTTATCCATTAACCTCAACAAAAGCTGCACATGGTAATGGAAGAGGCTGAATATGGTCCTCATAGCATATCAGATTAGTATAAATTGCTCATCTTGCACCACCATTGAGCACTTAAGTTTGTTGCCCACTACACTTTTGCCACTTGGACCTGTTTTTTTTGACAAAATGACCCTATCCATAATGTCACTTCTGAATTTGACTGAGGCACATCCAGATGAGTGTGCATGTGCAGTTTGTGGCACTTCAAAGCTGTTTGAGCCATTTACTGCACTGCAGATTTGGAGCGTGGCACCAAAATTTGACACTAGGAGATCCTGGTGTCAAAACTGCTGCAAAAAAAAGCCGCGCAGCTAACGTTTCTGGAGCATGCACCAGCAGCCACAGAGGTTGGGTCCTCCAGGGAGACTCTCTGGCTGCTGGCCAGAGTGTCTCCCCTCCTCTAGTTGTCCCCTGGCTCTTCCAGCATGCTGGGAACTGGGAGAAGTGGGGAAATGGCCCCAAAAGTGGGGCTTTTCGCCCTGCACCACACCCCACATGCAGGGGCACGCACAGCAGCAAAAAGCAGTGACACAAATTTGTGCCACTGCTGTTTTTGTCATGGCAAACACAACCCCTGCACGTGCATGCTTGTCTGAACACACCCGTGGGGCATGTTACCACATGCAGGGTTGTGCATTTCCCATGGTGCAAATAGCAGCAGCACATTTGTGCAGCTGCTTTGTGCCCTGGGGCATGCTCCTTCATGCACACTCCAGCATGTGTCCAATTGTCCTGGGTAGGGTAGGACCACTTATCCTGGCCCCAGCAGCCTTATCTGGGGGCCTCCCAAGGCAGCAGCAGCACCAATCCAGTCTCACAGAGCCTGGCCTGCAGCCAAAGCATGGCTCTGGATGGCCAGGATCCATTTCCGGTGGTGTGGTGTGCATTGCTGCCATGTGTGCCACACCACTTTTTGCAGCAATTCTTTTTTTTGATACCAAGACATCCCAGTATCAAATTTTGGCACATTTACAGTGCAGCACACAGTTGCACATTTGGTGCATGTGGTTTGCAGCACTATAAACTACATGTGCGTGCTCATCTGGCTGTGCCCATGGAGTCATCAGATAAACTTGTTTTATATATTGAAGTCTGGCAGTAGTCTTTCTCAATTTGAGAATCTAACTAGAAACCCACAGAATGCAGATTCTAAAGTAAGTTTAATATCCTTATTTTTCATTGGATCTAACTACAGTAAACAATTTTTCCTTCTTGTCATTTAAGGTGAATCACTCCCCAAGCTTCAGTACTGATTCCTGGTTAGACAAAGAAGTGAAGGACCACCTTTTATATGACACCTTGGTTCTGATAAACTTGGGAGCCTGTATCAAGAGAGAGATCCTAGAAGAGAAACGACGAGGAAAGGAGAGGCTTCTGAAGCAAAGCTGTTCTTGGGAGATCAGGTGCATTCTCAAACATGCCTTCAGCTTCTTCAGACTATTCAGGCCATAAATGCAATCTGCAAGGAGCATATATATATTCTTTATACATTAAATAAGCATAATTTATAAACATTATATATATATATATATATATATATTTCTTTATAAATCATAAAAGTCACAAATCATATATATGTGTGTGTGTACATATAATTATATGATTTGTAAATTTGTATGATAAATAAAGATGGTCTGAATAGACTTTTTACTGGGGGGTGGGGATTCCCCTTAGAAATAACAAAAAAAGTAAAGTCTGGCCTTTTCTGGCTTTACTGAAAAGCAACAGTCATATAGAAAGAAACTTTCTTGTAAGGACATTTCAGCTTTATG